TTATACTTATACATAACTGTCTTGTTTGCCGCACTAAACTCCTAGTTTATAGAAATAGTTCTTGAATCATTTGTACACTATGACTATATGTACAGTACAGTCATACCTCCATAAATGCACTCTCTATAAATGCATGCTCTATGTAAATGCACGGTATAACTTGATCCAATCTCATAAGAGTTCTATACAATCTACCCTCTATAAATGTACAGTCTCTAAATACGCATTTAAATTTTTTTTTACTATGTCCTTGAGGGAGTGCATTTATGGGTCCATAGTTAAAAATGCAATTTGCATCGTAATTAAATGCAGTAGCATCTTCAATATGTCAATGCTACATAAAAAATTCTGTATTGCCATATGGTGGTCTGCTTACAGGATCGATAAATGTTATGAGTGAATATTTATATGGTTACAATGTTACGATAAAAAATTTTTCAATAGGGGGTTTCAGAATTAACTTCTTTCGAAAATAAGTGGGAGTAGATTTTAAAGATCTTATTTTCTGTTTAAAACTCTGAATCATAAAATTAAATAGTCGTAGCTAGTGATAAGATCCGTTTCTTTTGATGGTAAGCGATTATGTTAATAAGTATATACTGAAATCAGGCCTCGGATCATTAATTTAAAACCCCTAATTGTAACATTTTGTGTAAATTAACATTCTCCTTTTTAGGAAATTTAATGAAGACTTATAGATTCCCTGAGTAACGCTCAGCGAAAACCTGTAAGTAAATGTTTGACTCCTCAAAGTATTATACGTTCTTGACCAATTAAATTTCAAGAACAGGCTGATCTTGGTAGATCGTACGATATTTCGAGGGCCAAATATTTTATTTACAGGTTTTCGCTGTGGGGGATCGCTAAAGCTATAAAAACAATTACATTGCTGATGTGTTTAGGGTTACTTTTTGGATACAGGTATGATCAGTGGTTTCTATAGATATCAAAAATATAATTTCTGTAGTTTGTAGATCGGTATATTAAATTTTACCCCTGATATGTAATAGTTATTATTTTGTGAAGAATGTTATAATCAATTTATTAGAAATACACCTTTAAGTTTATATATACGAAACGATGGAATCTTTATTGGTAATTGTGACTTCTCACCTGATATAAAAAAGCAATGGTCGGCTGCTGTAAGTGAAAATAAAATTGAAGAATTTAAGAAGTTTGTTGAACCAAAATTGGGACGTATTCGAAGGATACAATCTCGTCAAGCCGAATTACAAGTTTCTTCGTCTCTAGAAGCACAACGAAAAGATGCGTTAGTACGTTCACAATTTATTCGTAGGGGGCAGGGTTTTGCTTTAGAACTTATAGGTAATGGCTCAGATAGATATTCTTTTAATGGCCAAATTTACACCAATCGCGGTGCTGCCGAAGCTGCTCAAATTCAAATTCAAATAAATAATTGTTCGGAAAAGCTTAATGATCATTTAAATGAAATGCGTCAATTAGCAATTAAACGCGCCAACTTCTGGTATAACTTATAATTTATTATTTTTTTTCTTAATTTATTCTTACATATACAGTATTGTAATGTAATTATTTAGATTAATTAGTTGACAATTTCGGAGTAATTATATTTCACCATATATATATTTTTTGAGAATTTAACTAGTTTTTTAAGAAACGTAAATTGTTATTAGTCCAAAAAAATTTTTTACAAAGTGTAAGAATCTGTTATTTGCTTATTTTTCTCTGTAAGAAATAAACTTTTAAAAAATTTGAATATGGCATATCTCTAGACAATCCTATAGATGGGACAGTAGGTATTTTTAGGGATGGGTTCGGTCGGTCACGGTCGGTAGGTCATTACAAATGATGCCTAACGAAACTATTTGGCGCTGACGAAATGGTTTCGTCAATGGTTTCGTCTGACGAAACTTGACGATATGACGTAACTACTGACGATTGACGAAACTCTTGACAAAATTAATTTGACCAATAAAATATAAAAATGCAGTTGACCATCTTTCAACAAGTTCCTTTAGTACGTCCTCTGGATATTCTGAATCTTAAAATTTTCAAAATTACTGCTATTTTATAAAAAGTTTCGTCGGTCCTTTCTTCGTCGATCCGTCGGATACATCCGGGTGAGTAATGAATTTCGGATAAATATGTCAAAAACATAACAAACCGGACAGATAAATAATGAACAAAAATTAAATTTACATGGACTAATTTATTTCCATTAACTAGTTTTCAATGACTCCTAACGAATAAATCCTGTTTTTAATTTTTCTTATGCTTTTCATATAAAATTTATGTTCGAAGTTGCCTGACGAAATGGTTTCGTTATTCGTATGACGAAAGGTTTCGTAATTCGTCAGGCATCATTAGTAATACGGTCAAATAACCGGTCATAGCCGATCAATCAAATATCCAAATAAGTGACAAGTAGGGATAGGACACTGCTGAAAGAAAAACAAAACACGGTGATTTGCATCACATGATCAATAAAATCATAAGTTCATGGGTCCAATAGTTGGTATATATTATTGCAATGTGCGTTCTAATACATGTTATTTTGCATAGTGATAGCTAACTTTAAATTCTTGATTTAGGGTTCCTTTACTCTTGTATCACTATAAATAAAATCAGTTATAAATTTTAATTTTATTATAAATAAATTCGATTTAATTTAAACCGGTTATAAATAAATCTGATAATAATTTAAAACTGGTTATAAATGAGTTTTGCAAAGCCAGCATTTGTGAATTTTCCGAAATCAATTTTATAGAAACGACTTATCAGACACATGATCCATTAAATAGAATTTATTATAGAATTTATTATAATTCATCAGGATTCTGATCACTGTTCTGAAAAGCGGAGCCGGCAAAAACCAAAATTGCTGGTTTTAGCTTTGTAGCACTCAAATATAACAGAATTTATCGTTATGTATAATTTTAAAATTTAAATCGGTTATATTCAAAACTGGTTATAACTGGTCATAAATTTGGTAGATTATAACCGGTTCTTAACACTATCACTGAAAAATAGTTTAATTTCTATACAATTAATTAAAATTTTATTTAATTATTATATAATTGATTGGAGAAATTTTATTAAATTAGTTTGAATTTTATACTTACTGACAAATAATTTTTATATAATTGATTAGAGAATTATAAATTATTATAAACTTTTAATTTATAAATTAATTTTTATACTCACCCCCTATAAAAAAATTTTTGCAGATATATTCCGATTTTGTTCCGAACAAGTCGAACACATCCCGATCATATTCCGAACTGAAATTTGCATAATATAAATTAATGTATCGATATTGATATTGCTCCGGAAATGTTCCT